TAATATTTTTTTTTCTTCAAAAAATTATTACGCGACCATCTGATAAGTAATAATAATAATATATTACTAACAAGGTTAAACGACAGTTTATTATTACGCAACCATCTAGTAAGTAATAAATAATAGTTCTTATAATATTGTATCAACATTTGTTTTCTTTAAAAAACGGGTTTACTATTATGGCTGAATGACAGTCTATTGTTACGTGACCATCTGGCAAGTAATAATATATTACTAATAATAATTCTTTGTTGTATATATAAATTGTATTAATATGTGTTTTCAAAACGGGGTTTAATATTATGGTTAAATGGCAGTTAATTGTTGCTCGATCATCTGGTAAATAATAATATATTACTATTAATAATTCTCATTGTATATAATAACATTGTATTAATATATTTTTTTCTTCAAAAAATTATCACGCGACCATCTGATAAGTAATAATAATAATAATATAGTACTAATAAGGTTGAACGACAGTTTATTATTACGCAACTATCTAGTAAGTAATAATAATAGTTTTTATAATATTGTATTAATATTTGTTTTCTTTAAAAAACGGGTTTACTATTATGGCTGAATGACAGTATATTATTACGCGACCATCTAGTAAGTAATAATATAATAATAATAATTCTTGTTGAATATATAAATTGTATTAATATGTGTTTTCAAAACGGGCTTTAATATTATGGTTAAGTGATAGTTAATTGTTACTTATCATCTGATAAATAATAATTCTCATTGTATATAATAACATTGTATTAATATTTTTTTTCTTCTGATAAGTAATAATAATAATATATTACTAATAAGATTAAACGACAGTTTGTTATTATGCAACTATCTAGTAAGTAATAATAATAGTTCTTATAATATTGTATTAATATTTGTTTTCTTTAAAAAACGGGTTTAATATTATGGCTGAATGACGGTCTATTGTTACTTGACCATCTGGCAAATAAAAATATATTACTAATAATAATTCTTGTTGAATATATAAATTGTATTAATATGTGTTTTCAAAAACGGGTTTTATTGTTATGGTTAAATGGCAGTTAATTGTTACTCGATCATCTGGTAAATAATAATATATTACTATTAATCATTCTAGTTGTATATAATAACATTGTATTAATATAAAAACAGTTTATAGCTGAATGACAGTTAATTATTACGCGATCATCTGGTAAGTAGTAATATATTACCAATAATAATTCTTGTTGTATATAATAACATTATTAATACGTGTTTTCAAAAACGGGTTTTACTATTATGGCTAAATGACAGTTAATTGTTAATTGACCATCTGGTAA